TTCAATATCGGCACTATTAAATAATAAAAGGGTCAAAAAGAGGGGAATAATAATATATACACTATGCAGTCGAAGAGAGGTACTTTCCTTCAGTCTATATATGGTCTACTATGTAAACTGACCAGTTAAAATGGGCTTTCCCACATATGGCCCACTTTGATAGTTTACGGTTAAGATTGTATAGTGGGTCCAAATGGGCCACTAATAGTTTTACGGGCCCATTACTAGGACCCAGGGCGACGAACACTTGCCAAAAATTGATCATTTTTATTTATTTATTTATTGCCAAAGAGACGATTTTATTCAAAACGAGAACCAGTATAATACTCATATACAACATGGGTGTTAAGTTAACGAATCTATACTTATATTGTACCAAAAAAAAATGAATTTATACTTATATAATGAGATATCCTATTTACCAAATTTAATAGGTTGAAATTTCAACGTAATTAATGTATAATGAGGTGTCCTCTCTCTCTCTCTCTCTCTCTCCCTCCCTCTCTCTTTCTCTGTGTGTATGTGTCGTGTGTCTGTGTTATTTCTGATGTGTGAATGTGAAAGTAAGGCATTGACTATTGCATCTGTGTGCTGAATGTTTACTGCATGTAATTAGCTGATGGATTCACACTCACTGATGGGGGTTTTGTTCCTAAAATATGGGTTCAGTTACGATTGAAGATTGCAATATTCGATTTCTTATATTTTGAGGCTTGTATGTATCGACTGAAATCGAGGACATTATGCATGTATATTACTGTTTTCAAATGCCTAAAAGAGTGTATGAAATGAATGGATGGTGTTTTTGGTTTTCCTAATTTTAGGCAAGAGGAGTTTGATGGGAGTTGTGAAATGTTGGGAGTTTTAATTCCTCTATTAATCTTTAAATGCACTTGGAAGCATAATGTGATGGTGGGAAGTGTTTAGCTAAATTTATTCTAGGCTCTAGCTGTGATGTTCAGCTAAATTTAGGCCTTGTTTTGTTTAACTTATCTGTGTGGAGAGGATTTTGTCAAGCTATGTTTAACTTATCTGTGTGAATCATTTGTGGTTTTCTGGTTTATGTAGTGGCCCGATTATTTACCGCTAAGATAGCGGGTTGTTATGAAGATATTTGCCAATCCAAAGGAGTAAAGTTTACCGAAGGAGCTATAAAGAATTTTACCAATCCAAAGAAGTGAAGTTAATTACCAAAGGAACTGGCGACTATCTTTCGATTATAACTCTAATGGGAGGGAACTTTTTTTTTTTTCTTGGCTGTCATGGAAAATTGTGTAATTTCTCCTAAACAACTTAATTTATAAACCAGGGGAATCAGGGATTTTTGCTGAACATTCTTCATTCATACTGTTGCACTAGGGTTAATATATGATAATATACAAAGATCAACATTCTGTAATAAACTACACCATTTAGAGCATCTCCAATAGTTTCATGTCTATTTTGATATGTATGTTGTGGAGAAAAGCAATAAAAATAGTTTGTCTCCAATGGTGAATGTCAATTGTATAATGAATTGACACATGTAAGAAAATAATTGGTTGGTGTAGAAAGATATATAAAATAAATAATATAATATAGATAGAAGATGTCTAGAAGTCTTTCTACATCTAGAAAGACTTCTAGAAATTTTACATGCCACATTGGATTTTTCGAGACATGTGGCAATGGAATGGAAGAATGCACACTCCATTGGAGATGCTCTTAGTGTCAGTTATACTGGCTTTTCTTACAGGTTATCACTTTTAATCTCAGAAACGGCAGTTGGGAAATTGACCATGGAGAAAGGGGGGAATCAAAGTCAACGGGAAAGTGCAATCAATCAGCAATGACTCGATCTTTGCCGCTTTTCCAGTCAAACTCTTTGGGGAAACACGAAGGGTCGAGCACAGTTGACTGCACACGAAAGTCAGCCAGGCCAGGCACGTTGACTTTGAGTATCTGCCATTCTTCTACTTGAGCGTCTTCACATTGTCATGGCAGTTTTTACAGGGACTATGTAGGAAGGTCGTTTATTTCGGTGAGTTTGGTGGAAATAAATTTGGGGCCTACTGGATAAATAAAGTCCTTCTTGTTGGTTGTTTTCTCGAGGGCGGGACTAAAGAAGAGTATGAGGAGTGTAAACAAGCTTATAATCGAGCACGAGCCGAGCTCGCCAAAATCGAGCCAAACTATAGAGAAATACGTAAAAACTGTATTTTCAAGCCTTAACGAGCCGAGTCGAACTAAACGAGCTTTATATGAGATCGAGCATGGCTCGTTTATGCTCTCGAGCGACTCGTTTAGTTTAAAAGCTCTTGAGGTTGTAGCTCGGGTTGTAAGGCTCTTGAATGAGGCCGTTTTTTGCTTCTTGGTATTCTAGTGCTGGTGTTGTTTTTGCTGCCCTTATAGCTGCATTTGCTTAGTGGTATGGCAGTAAGTGAAGCATGTGGTGAGGATCTTATTTTGGCTGGTGTTTGTAAGTGGAATTATGATTTTATGTTTTGTTCATATGTGAGTGAGTTTTGGGTCGTGTTTAGGATGATTTGTTCGCATGAATTCTTTAAAAATATCAAACACCTGCCGCAAAATGGTGTAAGTGGAAATTTTATGGATAGTAACTTGTAGATTGTGGCAATATAAAGATAATATTTATTTTATTTTATTTTGCCTAAGAGGTAGAGAATGTAATGTTTTTCAATTATTCAATTGAGACTTGAGATTGTAGGGAAAATGTGAGATGAAATGAATGATATATTTTATACACTATTTTATTTTTATTTCAATTGAACAAAAGAAAAAAATATGTTTTTTTTATACAATCGCTACCCTAGGGTGCAGGTTATTTTTTGTTATTTTTTTCATCTTATTTTTCTTTACAATTTCACCAACACAATTAAAACGTAGAAAAATAATATTAATTATATATTTTTTTACAAACATATTATATATTCAATTATAGCCTACTCGTTCTCGTTAAGAGTGAGGTACCTATGACATGAGGTCATGAGTTCAAGCCCCCGGGAGCGTAAATGGTGGAATAATTAATATTGAGGGCTACAAATGGCAGTGTGAAAGGCTGAAACTCGGTTGGAACCAGCGGCTGGATAAGTGGGGCCAATATGAAGTTGGGGAGCCAACATGAAGCAATCACTTCGGTGGGATCCAGCGGCTGGATAAGTGGGGCCAATATGAAGTTGGGGAGCCAACATGAAGCAATCACTTCGGTGGGATCCTGCGGCTGGATAGGTGGGGCCAACTTGGAGTTGCAAAAGTCAGCGATCAATCACTTGGGTATCGACTTCTTGTACTCTGTAGTTGAGAAGATTAGGTACATGAGAGCCATTGTGTGGATACTCGAGGCAGCTTCTTAGGGGTCGGAGTTGGTGGGATCCTGCAGCTGGACAGGTGGGGGCCAACTTGGAGCTGGAAAGATCAGCGAGCAATCATTGGGGATCGACTCCTTGTACTCTGTAGTTGAGAAGATTAGATTAATGAGAGCCATTGCGTAGCTACTCCGACTTAACTGGAGGCAGCTTCTTAGGGGTCGGAGTTGTTTTCTCGAGTACTAATCAGACGCAAGCATGAAACTTCGGTATAAAAAAAAACTTATTTTTCTTTTATTTAAAAATAGTATTTCTACCTTTTTTTTTTTCATTTTTTTTATTTTGTTTGGATGAGACGAGATTTTTTCTCAGGCATATTAAATTATTAATAATTAATATCCAGAGTCCAGAACGGAATCCCTGCCACGTTAGAATATCTCCTTGCTGCTCTGTCAACTTCCTACACCGAAAGGAAAACCGACACGTGTCAGTCGCCCGCCTGTATACTTTTTACCTTTCCGTTTCTCGTTCACTCTCCCACCCAGGTATACTCGCAGCACTCGCCCTCTCTACGCGCCACGTCGACTTTCATGAACATAACTTACCGCGGTTAAACACCACGCACATCCAGTGTATATTGTTCCATTGAGGGCATCTTGGAAAGCTTTATCCAAAAATTTCAAAATTAACAGATGCGAAACGTCACCGCTGGGAAAATCAACTGCGCAGCTCCGCATTTATTCTCCGTACTAAAAAAAAAAAAATTAATAATAAACCTTTTTGCTTTGAAAAAATTCCTCAAAAATCCCTTTCGTTTTCTCAAAACCCTAATCGCTCTGTGATGCAATTTTCAAACATTTATCGCTCTGTGATGTAACTCCGTTGATTATTAGCTGGAAAGAACTGTTTCTTGTTTTCTTTTATCCAGGTAACTTGTTCTTGCTTTCCCCCTTTTTCTTTTGTCTGTTTAGCTTTGAAGCTTGTAGACTCGTTCGTGTGTGAGAGGAATGATGTGTTCTCGTTAAAGAATTTTTGCTCGCGATTTTTCACTTATTTTGATGATTTTAGATGAAGGGGTTTTAGGGAGGAAAAGCCCTAGAGAAGTTTTTGATTCAATTTATTTTTCAGTCATTTGTTAATAACTGGTTTTTGTAGATGTTTATAAAGTTTTTCCTTCTTGTAGTGGTATCTCCAGTTGTGGTTATCGGGGTGTTTCGGAATATTGTTGAAGGAGGCGAGAAAAATTAAGGGTTCCTTTATTTACTCTGTAAAAATGGCGACTTTGGAAGATGTTGGGGATAAGAGTGTGGGTAAAGTTTCTGATTTTGAAAAGGTTAGAGATGGGACTTCTGCTGTTGACGATGTTGTTGAGACTGAAAAAGAGTCTAAATTCGATGGCAGTCATTGTTTTGTTGATACAGAGAAAGTGAAAAATGGTGTTCTGGGCTTTGCCGAGGATCCGGGCACAAATTCTGGTGCTAAAATGAATGATACTTTTGGGGGTGGTGAAAAAAAGGGTGAGTTTGTTGTTACGGGTTCTCCAATTAATGCGAATGGTGTTGGGAATGATGATGAAAAACAGATAAAAAGTGAAGAAAAATGTTTAGAAGCTATTGTGGATGCCAACGGTCAAAAACAGGGGACTAATAATGGCGAGAAAAGGGAGGATTTGGACAGTACATTTCGTGTTGGTGATTTTGTCTGGGGTAAAATCAAGAGCCATCCATGGTGGCCCGGTCAGATTTACGACCCGCAAGATGCTTCGGAATTTGCGGTCAAACACAGCCAAGAGGGCCGTCTATTGGTGGCTTACTTCGGGGATGGCTCTTGTTCCTGGTGCCTGCCTTCCCAACTCGTGCCTTTTGTGGAGAATTTCAATCGGTTTTCGACCGAAAGCTCCACAAAGAGCTTCCAAAATGCATTACATTGCGCTGTAAATGATGTGGGAAGGGTCGTCGAGCAAAGCATGACTTGCAAGTGTGTGCCTCCGGTTAAAATCGATGGGCTAGCCCGACAGTTAGTGTCTAATGCTGGGGTTAGAGAAGGAGTTGTTGTGCCGGAAGTTGACATTGGGCGAATTAATGTCCCCAAATACGAGCCCGCTCAAATTCTTGAAAAAATGACGAGTTATGGAAAATCGAATTCATTCGACTCGTTGTTGGATCTTGCGCTCGTGAAAAGTTGGTTATCCGCGTTTTATCATGCGAAGGGTGGTCACAAGTTGCCGATGTACCGTGAGCCCGTTTACATTGAAGGTCTCGAGGATAAGAACGAACCCACGAAGGAAGCTGCATCTTCTGAAGATTTTAGTGTCCCGATTGAGGTCCCTATTCTGGGCCCACGTGAGGATTACTGGCTGTCCTCTCCTGAGGTTAATAAGTCTCAGGCCTCTGCGGATGATAAGATTTATCATAGGAGGAAGCAGAAGAGTGTTGCGGAGCTTTTGGGAGAGAATAACGGAGCGGGATCTAAAAGTCATGAGAGAGTTAAAGTGAAAGCAGAAAAGGATGTAGGGAAAAAAGCGGAGTTGGGAAAAGGGAGGGCAGGTAAAAAGAGGAAGGTGGAGGATTTGGGTGGAGATAAAACTGAAAATAATGAAGTGAAAAAGGGTCCTTCATCTGGAAAACCAAAGGAAATCGAAGTTGGTGTTGGTGGTGAAGATATTTCTGGTGATGAATTAGAAAAGATAATATCTTCACCAAGGGAAAGGAAAAGGAGCAAGTATCTGTCTCCTCCTTACACTGATCCTAGCTTCAGTCTTTCAAGTTTCGGCTCTAAGTCGAAATCGGAATCTGGTAAATCTTCCAAATTAGTTGATGAAGCATCTGATGAAGAACTGCCTATTGCTCAGTTGAAAGACCTTGAACCGAGTGCCCAGACAGTGAAGGGTGAAAAAAAATGGAGCCTTGCAGCTTCCCATGTTGATCTGCAAGTCGATGAGTTGCTGTCTGAAGTCCAGTTTGCTGCTGTTGATCCTTTGTACCTGAGCAAGAAGGGTTCTCTCGATCCAGTCTGTGCATTTATGTCTGCGGTTAGAAAATCAACTTACCTGCAAGGTTCAGATCATGAAGTTTTTCATAAATCCAAAACCGGGGGAAAGAAGAGAAAATCATTTAAAGAACAAGAAAATGAAATAGCTCCAAAAAAGGCAAAATCGGCTGACAACACGAAAATGCCCAAACCAGTAAAAATGCATGAAGGTAAAAAGTCAGATAAACCTAAGGTCAACAAATCCTCAGATTTCTCTCGTGCGAAAAACAGTGTAGAGATGAACTCTGAAGGAAGTGCATCTACTTGCCTGATTGTGACGTTTTCGCCCGGATTTCCCCTGCCTTCGAAGGAAGAAATCCTGGAGCTTTTTGGTAAATTCGGTAGCCTTAACGAAAATGAAACTGATGTGTTGACCGAGTCTCAAGCGGTCCGTATTGTATACACAAACGAATCTGATGCCGAAAAAGCTTTTACATCGTCCGTTAAGGAAAGCCCTTTCGGCATTGACAATGTCAATTACTGGTTGCAGCATTCTTCGGCTGCCTCGAAATCCGGGCCATTGATTTTCCCCCGGACTTCTGATAAGTCGGGTTCTTCTCAACAGGTGGATGATTTTATGATGGACTTTAGGGCTGTCGGGCAAAAGCTCGAGATAATGACTGCTATTCTTGAAAACTACCACCCCAAATTTTCATGCGAGGAAAAATCTGGCTTGAAGGACGACATAAAGCAGCTGATGGAGAATGTGGAGGCGATGAGTGATAAGGTACGAGTCATGGCTGAGAATACTACTTCTTGAAGAACATTTAGAGTTATGATATGATGTGACAGAGCTTTTTAGGGTATAAAAAACTGTTAGTGTTCGTTCAGTTCTCTTTTGAGTAGCGTATTTGCCTTGCAGCAGACTTTTTATCGTGAAAATTAACTGCCGAGCTCTGTTAATTTCCGTTAGGAGTAGTGTATAATGTTTTTATTATCATCATAGTCCATAGGAATGGGATTATCTCTAGTTTCTGTAGTTTACCAGTGGAATGGTGTTATTGGAACATAGTATCTTCTTTGTTCGTGATGAATTAGTTTTCTAAGGCTATGTTTGGTTAAGCTTATAAGCTTCTTGTATTCAAATAAGCTTTGTTTGGTTGGATGCACTTTTCTAAAAAGCTCGAGCTTATCTCATGAGCTTGTTTGGGTAGCTTGTCAAATAAGCTCGTCAGCTAGCTTATAATCTTTACTCTACCAATATAAACTAACTTTTCAAATATATGTCAGAAGAAGTAAGCTATAAGCTCGAAAATCACATATAAGCTATAAGCTAGCTTATCAACTATCAGCTAACTTATAAGCTAGTTTTACCAAACATAACTTAAGTGTTTTGAAGTAATAATGCTCTAAGGTAGAGAGCATCTTGGTCATTTTCGTTTATATGCTCGTGTTTTTGGCTTTTAGATGCATTTTTCTGTAGCTGATATCATTATTATTTCTTAGGGACTTTTTGAAAATAAACTGCACCTTCTATAATTTGTGATGTAACAACAACCATAACTTTAGATCATATTGCAAATGTTTAGCAATTGAATGAAATTTGAGGCTGGGATAGTGAGGTAAGTTACGTTATTTTTAAGCTTGAATTCGTCTGGATTTAAGTACGGCATCATGGATTTATGGTATTGAAACACAGCAGATTAGTTTTATCAGTTGGATAGTTAATAGTTTCTGAACAAATGTGCATATTTTTTTGTACACAGGTGATATGCTTGAAATAACAATATGAATAAAATTATGTCATTTTTCTGTACAAGTATGCATATTTGTTCGAAAAAATAGATGTGTTCACTCACCGGTCACACTACAATTTGTGTTTCGAATATTCAGTTTGTTTTTGACTGCCGATGGTGCTAGATTTATAGAAAATATATGGTACTGCAGTGTGTTAAATTATCAAATGATTGTTAATTAATTAAAAAAATATGTGTATGGTAATATGGGCCTATTTTAGCGCACCTCATTTACGCCGCATGCCCAGGTGGGTTAGCCACGGGCTTGGCCCAATTGAAGAAATTTACCGCTAATATTCAAACCTCTCAACCGAAAGCAAAAGTTATGGGCTTATGCAATCTTTAAGGTGATTTCTCTTTGTGCTGATCGGCTTATACCAAGTAAAGATTTAGTACAAACACTAATGTGCTAGAATAGACAGACGAAAACGATACAAAATAATTCCTATAATATCAAACATTCATTGATTGCAGAAAAGAATATTTAAATCCAAGGAGAACTATACTAATACTACAGAAGACTACGTAATATAAACACTTAACTAAGTCTACAATTTATCTATAAGAATAGAGCTGTTAAACAAATTGAGCAGCTCGTAGGTTTGGCTTAGTTCAACACATTAAGTTTGACGACTCGAATTTGTGTTTGAGAAATAGGAATTTTTAAAGTAAATTCATGAACTATAACATTAGCCCGACCCGTTATATTTGATAAGTGCAGTCGAGCTCAAGCTTGTTGATTGATTAGTTAACAAGTCGATCTGGTTCTGCTGTATAAAAATTCTAGCTCAAACTTGAGTATTAGGAGCATGAAATTGAATAAAAAGTTTGATGGGACAAAGATCCCGGCTCCCTCGACTCGGACGGCCACCGTACCTGCAAGAACCCAAAGTCCGGGACCCCGGGAGGGGTGCCCGGCTTTGGGCCTCCGATGCTTAAGTCGGTACTGGGTTCATATGCATATAGAGAGAGGGTAGGGAGAGAGTGCTTAGAGAATGAATAGAGAATGAGAGGAAATGAGTGTCTCCTCCCCCTTTTATAGGGGGAGTGTACCTTATAGTCCAAGTTGGGTCTGGCCTAGATTGGGCTCGGCCCATATTATCATATCAAGTGTCTTAGCCCATGTATATACGTATTCTTCAATATATATCCACAAAAACCGATCGGGTACGACATGCTATATCAAATACTACCGGTCGAGCCGACAGTACTAGCCGTGGCTATATCAAAGTTCTTGCTCAAACTTTGAGTATTAGACAAGTGGACAATGTGTCAATAATTTCCAAAAATCAAATAATTACTAATACAATAAATATTAGACCCTACGATTTACCAGAGGGCCCACCCGAAAGCTCCTGCACAGCTTTTCGAGGGATAGACGTCTTTATGGGCTTGGGCCCTAAATACATGCTATGAGGAAAATTCCAAGACCCAAAGTTTGTTGAACTAAAAAACACATTTTGTATCTTAATGGGCTCCACATTGTTGGTTAGCCCGTCCTTTTTACAAGGAGGTCCTTTTGTTGCTTTAATTAGGTCACTATACAGCTAAAATATTTTTTTTTAATGTGTTTTTTTTACTTTACCACACATATTTATTTATTAATTATTATTTATTTTTGTATTATAATCCTTTAATGTCTGAGGTAAGGCATGATTTCTTGTTACTGTTGGGAGTTGGCAAGAGTGAGTGAAAAGGTAACAGTGTAAATTTGAGTTGCACATGTGGGAGATTACAAATGCTAAAAAGAACAAAAGAAACTTTCATTTTCATTGTAGATCACTAACTACAAATCTTAAAAAGGAACAATATAATTTTTAATTATTTCATTTTTCATTTATTTATAATGGAAGTATATCTCCAATTGCAACCTAGATACCTCACTAGCTACTTTTAATAGTTAATACTATTTGCTTTATCAAAACATCCATGAAAAAATGGATCTCTTTTCCCGCAAAATAGGTACGCTTTCACTTATCCATTTTCTTTACAAACCATTTGCTTCTTCCATTTATATATATATAAATAATTGTGAATAGCCATATTGTGATATACCGGTCTAAGTACTAATCGCTCGACTCGGATGACGAGTCGAGTCGTCTACGCGTCGACTGGAATACTCTGAAGTCGACACCCCTATAGTCAACTTTCTTTGTACCAATTATGGAGGAAGTCGATATCCGTAAGTCGACTTCCTCTATGTCCACTATTGGAGAAAAGGTCGACATCAAGGATGTTGACGACCTTCTTAGCTACAGGATCGACTAACTCGAAGTCGACTTACGACATAAAGAAGGTAAAGACGATTCGAAGAGAAGTAGTAGAGCCTCCTAATATATTCCCATACATGAACTGTAGTCTGTAGGTAAATTTCTCGATACTCGAGGTCGACTCTTTACACCCTAAGGCTGGAGGTGTATGACAGACTCCAGAGGATATTCAAGATTGACTTGATGAATGAGGATGAATTTTTATTGGATAAACTGGAATCTTAAGCTGACTCAGATCTGACTAAAAGGTGATTAGGATACAAATAGACCGGACAACCTGGCCGGTCGACCGAGGGCGTTCTGGATACTTCAAGAAGATACTTTCCTCTGTAAAAAGGGCTGAGTTAACTCCAAACCCTAACTTCTACACTCTCTATTCAATTTTTCATATCCTGTTGTTGTTGCTCCCTCTGAGCAGAGTATCTCCATTTCTTCCAATACTGACTTGATCGTCGAAGGTTCTACGACGGAAATACTTTCGGCGTTGAGTTCCTGCAGGTGTTGAAGGCGATTTAAAAGTGGTTCAGACGGATCAGAGTTCATTTCAACCGGTTCACCTCACATCTAGGAGGAGCCCCATGAAATTGCCTAGGATATTCTTAATTAAGTAGGGAATAGAGGTTTTCTTTTTCATGGTCATATATCACACGCTTAGTTAAAAAGATCACATGCATATTTCTAACACCTAACTTTAATGTCATGATATAAAATAGCCAAACAAGAAAAGAACAAGAATAGAATCAAGAAAATCCACCATTTGATATTAAAGTCATAAATAAAGGTAAATTAATTCAATTAAATCCGACCATTATAACCAGTTAATTAACCACACGAGTAGGATTAGATTTTACCGCGATCGCGAGACTTTAACAACACTGCATAATAATATGAACCGAAAATTACTAATACAATTCATAATAGTAACCAAAAAAATGTTTCTCTTTGTTTTTGTTTTTCTTGTTCGTTTTTTTTTTTACCTTTCCCTTTTGTTTTGAGGCATTAATTGTAAAAGTAAAAGTTACCACGTTAAGGTTGTTGTGAAATAAATATCCGTATGATCGATGCACAGTGATCTGAAGGACAGTACTCATGAGGATTTTTCCATTAAAAGTTAACAGTCTTTTCGGATCTTCACATGAGCTGCTTTACCTGCGTACCCGTTGTGCTCTCCTCAAATTTGGAATGTCATGAAGCGACAACATTTCTAAGCATGTAATAATAATAATAATAATAATAATAATAATAATAATAATAATAATAATAATAATAATAATAATTATAATAATGGAAATGTTACGGTCTCGTTCGGAACCATTCTGTCGAATTTGTAACCGTTAGAAGATCATGTAACCGTCGGGGATAGTTGATCTAACAGTTACAAACCCCGACGGAATAGTTCCATAACGGGACCGTAGCATCTCCCTAATAATAATAATAAGATTTAAAAACAAAAAAAAAAAGAACGAAGAGAAGCTAAATGTATCAGCGGTTAAAAAACTTTCCCCCATGGCATTTACATATACACCAGGTTTCAGGCCCTGCCAAAAGTAATAAATTTCTATACTTTTGAGAACATTTTTTATTTTTTTTTGGTTGAATTTTTGAAGCATTTATCGTTGTGATTTTTCAGTATAGAAGAAGCCATATAATTTAATGACATTTTATTTTAAATTGTGGAAGACACAACAAGCAACTAGTTGGTTTTTATTTTGATGTATTAAATAGTTACTACATATATGCATTTATATATAAAT